CCAAACTAGCCTTCTGTATCCGCACTGAGATTTCGTCAGTGATCAACCCGTTGGGTCTGATGCAACTCCCCAAATAAGTGAAGTGGTAAACACGCTCTACCACTTCACTGCCTATCTTCAAGCTAGGAGTCAATGTAGTCCAGTTCTGTAGCATCATCTTACGTTTAGCGGGAGTGAATTGCATGTCAAGCATACGCAGATTGCTGCTCCTCAAGGTGTTCAGAAGACTCTGATGACAGTTCCATCGGTCATATCTTTACAGAAAAACTACTGATATTTACATTTGTGTGTCGGTGGCACAGCGGTTAGGACTCTCGCCGACCATGCACATGGTCCGAGGTTCGATCCCTCGCCGCCGGCCTGCTAAATTTGGGCTACCGATATCACATGCTGAAAATTTCATACTTGTACCAAAAATACTGTGTGGAATCAAGCTATAATAAAATTTTAAAAATTTAAAAATTTCACTTCCACGTAGTTTACTACCTACATACAAGTAAAACATATTTAACACTACTACAGATTAATTATCATAGGATTTTTGTACTTTAGTTAGGTCTTCTTCCACATAGAAAAAAAACACTGAGTGACAATCTGACCAATTTTAAAAATAATAAACTCAGTTTAATTCAGTATTAAACCACTATGTGTTCCACAGTTAATTATCAATATTACTACGAATTATCATAATGGTCAGTTAGATTTTTTATTGAATACATGAAAAAAGCTTGAATTGAAAAGTTGTCAACACAGATGGATGCCTACAGAAACGAAATGGAAATAAACCCAAATAACTAAATTGAATATTTTCATATTACACAAACCAGTAGGTGATTTTATCAAAGTTTCCATGAGAAAGCAATTCAGTGTATCTCCAGTCCTTCCAAGTAGGTAACTAAAACATCAGTTTGTGGCAACGTGATGTACAACTTAGTATAGACATACACCGGATCAGCTTGTCACAAATTTCATGCTTTGGGACAACTCAGTGCGGACAAATCAATAATATACTAAGCCTTTATTGATCACAGCTATTAGGTAAACAAGTATTGTTGGTATGAACGAATGACTACCAGCTACTTATATTTGTCAGACCGAATAACGTAGAAACCAAGAAAGACATATATCACTTCAAGATGCTACAGTTTCAAGAAGACATAGTAAATAATACAAACAGAATGATACTAAAATATATACAAAGGTTTTTAAAATAGGAAGGATAACAAGAGGGAATACATTGTCGTCATGGTGAGTGAACTTTAACCGTTTCTTTAACTATCTTTACTCACTAATTCTCAGAATTCTGTGAACCTCAATCAGACATTCTACACCTCCCTACATGGCTCAGACCAACATTAATTAACTTTCTCAACTAATCTACAGTCTAATACAGCTTCAGATAACATTCGTTGTTAAAAAGAAAAAGTGCTGGCTCAGCATGCATAGCAAATGTGCTACCCACTGGAAGTTATTAAACTTTATAACTTTGTCAATCAGTAGACACTGCCAACCTAAATAATACGCTCATCATGATTACCACTTGCCGTGCTATTCCATCAAAAATCAGAAAATGAATAAGGATACCTATGGTCAAATACCTTCAGTCTGAGTTTTATGAATATGTATTTTTTCAGTAAGTGAGCTAATTATTTGTATCAGTTACTAGTATTTAGTGTTTCAAAAGATTTGTCTCCTATATTATCAGTACGATTATTCCATATGATGCTACATGTGGTTTTTACAAAGACTGGCAGTTATTTTACCTTGTAAAAAATGGTAACATGGCAATAATTAGGGACAGTATGGTATATTGAACTTTAATTGGTTTTTACAAGATAGATAGCCGGTGAAATCTACACCTATTTCTCAAAAAATATCAGAGAAAAATATGAGTTACTAAGCTATGTATGAGAAAAGACAAAATAATATTAAACTTATTAGTTTTTTACATAACTAAACATGACTCAAGATAGCATAACCACATTTTTACTGGCACAAAGCACTATTTCAAGAAGTTTATGCAATATTTATCAGCGAAAGGCTCACTACCTAGATTTCGTGCTTATTAACTTTCACAATAGAGGAGCATTTGTAGCCCTAGAAAAATCTAAAGCTCCTTTGAGATTAATGCTTATGTTACTTGCTGAAGAGGTTAGAGATTTTACCATTGGACGTTTTGTAGGACTAAACTTCACAGGTAATTTAGCTGATTAACATATTAAAAGATAGACAGAGATACTGCATACCATAAGGCTGACAATGTATTTATTTATTCATTCAGGAGTGATTCACTTCCAGTAGGCATCTGTTAGTCACTGTTGGTCATACCCTACCTTGGTATGGTTACCAAGTAAGCGATAAATAGAAAATAATCCAAATTTAAAATTCTATCCTATGTGTAAACATCTTTATGACAATTATTTAGGAAAAGAATAGTGTAAACTAAAAACCGAGAAACAAGTTTATAAAAGGTACATCTGGAGATTCTATATTTATAAAAACTTAGTAAGAATAAAAGTTGCTGAACCTTTAGCATGTAGCAGAGTTTTGCAATAGTACACTTAGTATTCACAAAGAGTGGAAAAACTTAAAAGTTTTTGTACGAAATCAGATGATCTAGATTGAGGAGAACAAAACTATTAACTACATTTCTAATCACATAAACTGGAAACTCTTTCACTTGTAACGCTAAGACGAGTGGACATTATAAATAGAGTAATACACCACTGATCAAATTATAACAAAATAAATTGGGTTTATTATACAACTTCCTAACTTGATACGAATAAATTATTGAACCTTTATAAGGAAAAGGATAGAAATTTAATACAGGAACCGTTATAAGTAACTTAACAAGATGTTGAACAACACAAAAACAGAAGGAAAACAGATGAACTGTAGCTCTTTCTAGAGCGCGGAGTTAATTTTTTGATTAACGTTATGCTAGTTATTCAGCTGGATATGAAAGAGCTAGATAAATTTGACTGGATAAATGAACATTTCATCATCAGCTGCTACATTTGTAGCTTTAAACTGATAGATACTGTTTTACAATAAAACAAAGTTAGTGGTTGAAATAAATGGTATTCCTGTTAAAAATTTGGACAGAATATTTTAAAAATGAACTGGATACCAACAAAATTTTGCATTATGCACAGTAAAAAATTTAATGTGTTTAAAAGAAGTCAACCAGAGCAAGTCATTACAAGCAAGGCTATAGCTGACTGGATTACAAACTTGATCTCAAACCATATCTCTCCTGTAGAGATTTATGCAGTCAGTTGGCAATATCAAACCTCAGACAATAAATATAGCTCATTAACACAAAGCCTAAGGAATGCCGTAAAAAGAGCATTCAGTCTTGTTGAAGTATGCTGTGTCTTCAAAACCAACCGTATCTTGAGTTCAGAGTTAAAGATAAACTATTTAATTTCGCCTTTTCTATGTGTATCTATCAATTTCACTGCTTCTGTAGAGCCAGTTACATAGGCCATAAAAACTAGGTGTGTTTATCGTCAGATTCCCGAACATCATCCTGCATGGTTAAGTAAGGGATAAACGAAGTCCATTCGTAGTTCTATACTGTATTATAGATACAGAAAACAAGATTGATGTTAACAACGTTTTCAGAGTCATCTACCGCACAGCAACTAATCTTAATTTTACCTTAAGAGTTCGTCTACTATTGGGATCTACATTAAGAAGCCTAATCTATGTATCCAAAAGAAGTTGGTTCAATCACTGTCCTTACCTTGGCCATCAAGGTTATAATTATCCCTAATTTGTTGCAGAGATTTCCTTAATTTTATCTGATATTCTATTTACTACTACGTTTTTATTCTTATTATAACTTATGCATCTTTCTTGAGCTGTAACTTCATTTATCATAAAAAATCGATAGTAATTAAAAACACCAATATTGTTAATGATGATTTTTTAGAACGTTCTGTGCAAATAAATATGTACAACTGTAGAGCCGGAAGAGGAAATTACCAAAAAGAATATTCTTTGCTCAAATTTTCTTTCGTCTTCTAAATGTCTGAATAAATATTTTCTCGATACTGAAATGCATATAAATGCAAATAAACGTTTCACTTTCCTAATAAATAGTCTACTACGTGAAATACATGCCGATTATGAGCAGCAACAGCCGTATTCATTCCCCTCACCTTAAAATCTTATTCTAAGAGTGGCTTCATCTGAATGTGAATATGAACTGCTTACAATAATTTATATGAAGTGTTTTACATGAAGAACTACTGAGTATCTGCATTTCTTTTGGCATTTCAACTCAGAACTTTGTTTTATTCATGAATGATTATGCGAGAGTTTTTCACTAAACTTAACTTTGAATCAAGTGGGATATTCGAAACTTTTCAGACCACACATTTGCCAAACAATACAGTCCACTAAGTGCCCACTAAAAATATTCAAATGTATTGTTTCACATTTTGAAATTCACGTTCAATTGAATAAGAAACTAGTAGGACAAAATTTCATCTGGATCCATATATAACATGTGTTTATGGGGCTCAACAAAGAATAGTTACTGTAATAACATTCAAAGCGAGATATATGTGGGCGAAATAATATTTTTGCAAAGATAACCATAAAGTTTCCAATCATTCGAGAAAATCTCATATCCACTATTCATGTCTGTATATATATGTATATATATTCATCTTAAAATATTAAATTAGGCTTGCTACAATGATGTTTTTTCTACTGAAAAAGCCATAAAATGCGAGATTTGTAAATCAGTTGTAAACATGCAACTCAATTAAAACGAGTACAATTGCTTTCTTTAATTTACTTGATGCAAAAAAGACAAACAAATCACGGACACTCTAAGACCAAAAGTAGACAAGTGCATTATTTATCACACATTTTTAATCCATTATTTTGCGTAGCACTCATCGCTTAAATGATTTACGAATACATAAATGATGAAAGTGAATCATGTCAGACAACGCTTTACAAAATACAGAGCCAAAACCTACCAACGTTAGTGCCATTCACTTCAACAACAAAATCATCATCTCGTAAACCAGCAGCATAAGCCGGAGATTTGCGATCGACTTCCGTTATATAGTGGCCAATCTTCCCTTTCGTCGCCTGTAGACTGAAACCATATCCTGATTCCTTATTCCATTTATAAAGAGTACACAGTCGTGCGAAATATATTTCTGACATTTTATGCGGAATTCATACGCAGCGGTGTTGACTCTCGCGTTACGAATTAATATCACGATGTATTAAAAGTGACTTTGGATAAGCTTAAAAGTCTGGGTCAGAAATTACGTCAAAATAATTTTAAAGTAATTCTCAATTAGAAATGGCAAGTTTCTCAGGCGATTATAAACCATAGCAGCCCAAAATAAAACAACCTCTAAGGACCAATCAGATGCATCAGAAGTAGAAGTGAGTAATTTGAAATAAACGTCTATACACAAGTGATGCAATGTTAAAACATGGTTACGTCCGATAATATTCTTGTATATATTTCAAAAATCTCAATTTATCACAGGAGCGCTCATAGTCAGGTTAAACAGATTTCTGTAAATAAATTCGTCAAGGTCATCATTCTGTTCATCAGGTAGATTCGCTTTGGGCTGCTATAGTTTAGAGTCACCGTTTTGCAGTCACTTTACATTGTTTTATCTGTACAAGGGCCCGGCATTTCTGCTCCTATTGAACTACATCCGTAGTGTACACATTTAGATAAGTGGTATTATAGTGGTTCGAATTATGAAAGAGGAGTTAGTTCAGAAACCCGGGATGCCTGGGTGAAACCCGGAAATCCTGACACCTCCTTCAAGATTCGAACCACTACACATTGCATGCACCAGGGATAACTATTGTACTTTGGCGCACTTCAGAATCAAATGCACGTGGTCCAGAGACGACATGATGGCTTTGCACTTTAACATGAGGAATACCTGCCTATGACCTGATCTTCCAATTAAATAGCAATGTTGGCCATCGCTATTGCAATGTTAAAAGCCTCTGGTAATCTTCCTTATGTCACTCGACGCATGCCACTCATACATGCATGTGGTTTTGAGACAACATAAACTGGCCTAACGAACAAACATGAAGAACACCTTTCTGAATTTACCAACATAGGTAACATGGAGGGAATATTTGATATTAATCACCACTGACCTGGAAAAGTTGGTTCAGGGTTTGCTGTGTAACTTGGACTTGGGGGGAAGTGGATTGCCCCCATAATCGAGACCAACGGGCAAAATGATCAACTTAATTCATACTAGCGACACTATCTGGACATACCTCATACTGCGAAATACATGTAATTAACCCCAGCACCTCCCGTTTTGGAGTCAACCAAAGCTACGACAGTCTGTCGAGTGGAAGGACGAACTAAGAAAAACTACCAAAAACCAGGGAATTTCATCTACCAACCAAGAGGCGGGCACAAATTAATCAAGTTAGTCTACACTAGCTCGTAAAAACCGACACTGTTTGAGACCAAATAAATTCCGCATCATTGGCAATGTAATCAGCCACGCCGCCACGATAGTAATAAAACCCTAACAACCTGGTCTTCATGCCGAAATCACGAAAAGTGAAGGTGCCTAAATGTATCTGCATAGTACTCAGTGGTATATCTACCTGTTATTTAAGAAATCCATACCAGATAGGTTTATTTTAAATATCACATAGTTTTAACAATCCGATGACGTTCGGAACATAAATTATTGCTCGTAATTGTGTTGTGTGCCACTGATAAGATTTGTCAGCACTATATAAAGAGACGTTCATTGGCATAAAAACATCTAATAGCAGCGATGCAGATTTGATTTCAGCGAAGGCAAATGATTCAGTATAGTGAGATGCATGGCAGATGTGAAAGTAAGACAATGAAGCTCAATATGAAGGCCAGAAGTAGCACAACACGGAAGATCTATGGAAATGGTGCGGAGAGATAAGGTATACACAATTTGGTCATAAAGAGTTACCGATTTTTCAAATAAACAATCGTTTACCATGTTCTTACCTTCGACCGTCGCAGTTGGTGTTGCTACCTCCAGACAATGACGACTCCATGTCCGGCTGCTTAGGAGGAGGAAGACAGTTTTTGAAGCCTGTTGAGGGGATTTGAAGTCTTCGCTGGGTTGGTGGGCGTCCAGGTTATCACGGAGAAAGCGGTCCTGCTGGGGATGCTACTGAGAGTGTGAGCAAAGATAGCGTACGACACTGTGGGGCGGTCGGGTGAGATGGAAACCTGGAGGGTGTTGGCTGAATGGCTGGTCGCAGAGTTCGACAGTCCGACTGACAGGCAGCTGGCAATGCAGCCGTTCCATGCCGCGAAACCAAAACAGGATGAAGACCTGACAGTGTTTGTGATGAAGCTGACGTATCTACTATGTCGTGCGCTCTCCAAACTGGATAAAGACTCGGAATCTCAATTATTGGCGTTCCAGTTCATTGAGAGTGTCCCAGACCACATTTTGCAGCTACTTTAACTGGTTAACGATGCACAACTCATGAAAATCGGTGAGCTAGCGAAGGTGGCAAGGCAGCTGGTGAGCACAACGGTAGCAGCAACTGAGGCACGAAAATTAAACGAATGGGAACAGAAAGTAGAAGATTTGCAGTCTGAAGTAGTGACCCTAATGACGAGTGCCAGGACAGACCGCTGCTTGAAATGTGGCAAAGCAGGACACTGGAGGAGGCACTGTGCAGAAAGAAGGAGGAAAAAATTTCAGATAGTAAAATGTGTGTTCCTTCTCTCTCATAGGACTAGAAGTAGTGGAGGCTATTGAGAGTGGGAAATGTGCCCTAAGTTGCGAGTGGATGGCCGAGAAGTAGTATGTTTGATAGATACAGGGGCGGCAGTCTCACTAATAGATAGGAACCGATGACAAGCTGGGATCGTGTGCCACGCCAACTGTAGTAGAAACCTTGGATCGTCCACGAAGCGCGAATTTGTCTACAGTGCTCGACCTCCAGTCAGGATATTGGAAAATACCGACACAACAAGGTGGCAGAGATGAGATGGCGTTCATCGTGGGACAGAAGCACTATCGGTTTAAACGCATGCCCCTTGGATTAGTAGGTGCACCGTTTACCTTCAGACGACTGATAGCGCTGTTAATTAGAAACCTGAAGAATGTGGAGGTATGTGGTGATGATCTCATCATCTACAGTCAAAACGAAAGTGAACGTGAGAACCACGTCGAATTTGTGGTAAAATGCATTGAATAGTTCGGACTTCGCATCAAAGAAATGAAATCTCAAATAGACAAACACCATGTTACGCTATTGGATCATGAAGTAGGCAAAGATGAGATGAAAACGTCTCCGGATAAAATCTTTTCGATAAACACCATCGGGGTCCCGAATTCAAAAATGAAGCTACGCAGCATTTTATGGTCGATTCGTGAGAAACTTCAGTAAGATAGCAGCCCCTGTGCAGGCTATTAGGTGAGTTCAAGGCTTTCGGTCAGAAGATGCACAGAAAATATTCGACAGTAATAAACTGCTTTTGAACCACCAGAAAATGACGCGAAAACTGTCTGTGCCTGGAAAACAATTCACAGTGTGTAAAGATGCGAGTGAAAACGGCATTGAAGCAGTACTTAGGCAGGGTGAAGGAGTTGTCGAATACGCCAGTCGTGGTTTCTGAGGACAGTGAGAGACCCACGCGGGAAACTGTCGCGGTGCAAGTCGCGCCCGCAGGAGTATGACTTCACGATCTCACACATACCTGGCAAGGAAAAAATTTTGGTGAACTTTCTATCTATATCGGAAGACAAAGCCGAGTTACCGGAGATTGTTAACTCAGTACATGAGTTGGAACAAGAACCATTAAGACTTGCCCGCTGCCATAAATCAGACCCCAACGTGAATACAGTGAGGCGGGTGATCACCAAAGTAATAGAGGTAAATCAACCTACGGCGAATAGGGAGCTGACCACGCTGAGTTTCATTACTACCTTATACTACCTCGTGGTACGTTCGAATTTGGTGACACTTTTGCACGTGTTTTCGCTGATATTCATTTTTCAGTTCTGCTATATTATCACCAATAATAATGGGCAAAAACTCTAACAGGCGTATTCTTAGGAACTCTAGTAATTTAGAAAATAGCTTAAGCTTATCTAGTAATGCATTATCACCTCTAAAATCAGCTATAATTAGTAGTTCACCCAATACAAACAGTTCCAACATAATGCTAACCCCTGTAATACAGGTGAAAGATATCCTGTCAGCAGAGGCAGAGATTACTAACTTAGCCTGCATCATAAACGACATGCAGCTACAAATAAATGACCTTAGGACGAAACTAAATCTACTTGACCTGGTACCAGAAACAATCTTCCATCTTAAAAAGGAACTGGGGGATCTCACTTTCCTAAAACTCTTTAAATTGAAGACTAAACCAACCGATGCTGAATCGGAACATGCTAAGGAGCTAGGGAACGCTATGGACTATCTGTCAAGCGAAGTTGTTAAGAGACTTGCTTCTAAACGGAACGCCATAGTGTACAACATACCTGACAATGAGCCCATAAAGTCGGTTCAGCACTCCTTGTTAAGGGCTGAAAGCCTCTTAAGTACACCCTGTCAGTGTATTAGACTAAATAAAAAGGAGTCAAACCGCACATGTCCTATACTTTTCAGGTTTGACGGCTGGATAACAGCCGAACAATTTAGGAAATCTGGGGATACTTTGGCCTCCACTTCGAAATTCAAAAATGTTAAAATAGTCTCGGACAAAACCCCCAACCAACGACAAGTAGCTAAAAATACCTTAGATACGAACACGAATATAACACAAATCATGAATAGCTTCAGTGTCGAAGTATCGAAGAACACTGAAGCACAAAGTGACACTTGCATTGTACTAGGTGAACAACCGACACACGAAGGTGAAGGGAAACCCAAAAGGAGCAGTAACACTGGAATGGGTCTCGAAGTTCGTGAGAACACTCCTAGGAAATCTTCCGACCCCGCACATGAGGTAGACATAGATGCTTCCGCTACAGATAACCTACAAATATCGGCAGATAACACTGCACCCAGGGCCAAGCAAAATAATCTCACTGTAAAAGCCGAAAAGAAGTCCCCTAAAACCAAGGTCTCTCCACAGGCGTCCACATACCCCCTTGTGACAAGCCCAACAAGCAGCATGTACGCCTGAAAAAGAACTATGCACGCATTACGGCAGGTCCCATAAAGGAGACGGAACACAAGAGTGGAAGTGCTCTTCGTCGAACTAAGAGTAGTAGACAAACTGTGGACGACAGACTACACGAGGTGAAAGCTAACAGCAAGAATAGCTCTATCCACACAAAATCACACGCGAGCAGACACGCAAGGGGAGTCGAGCTGATTGAACAGCAGAGTGAGGCCCACAATTTCCGTAGTAGCCTAGGTTGTAATATGCCTATAGGCTCATATAACCTGAGAAAGGGACCCAGAATAAATAATGAAAACACATGGG